GTGGTGGTGGTGGTGGTGGTGGTGGTGGTGGTGGTGGTGGTGGTGGTGGTGGTGGTGTACATTCAAAAGAGCAATGAGAAAGGAAAGCACGGCAGCCTTTGTGCAGTGCTGCAGTAGATGGCTCCTCATGACGAGGCAGAGTAAAGCAGACTATGGTAAACCTCTCGCCTTCCTCTCAATGCTTACACATCTCACACGCCAGTGCAACAATCCCACCACAAATGCAAGTGTTAATCATTCCAACAAATCACTCTAGCAGCTCCAGCACCGCCATTACCACTAGCATCACCACAACTTTAAACGCCAAGGCTAGTACCCCACCTTCGAGTGCAACGCTGCCTATCCTTTGTCCGTTCTACTCCCCTCCTCACATTGCCACAACCACATTGGTGTGTTCTGCTACCACGTTGCCACTTGTAAAAAGCCAATAGGAGCTCCTTGCAAATTAGTCAAAACAGACGGTAAACAATTGCATTTTCTCAAGTGCGCGTTCGGATCTCCGGGCTACGCGAACGCCTCTATGGGTTGACGCACCGATGCGAAGGCATCATATTTTCGTCACGCATCATTTTTGTGTGCGTGTGTGTGTGTGTGGATTAGCGTGGGACACGTAATAGCTTCCGATGCACTCGCTCTCAGCAAGGACGGGTATTGAGCGTGATAGAACGTCTGCAATCCTATGGTTCTGCCTTCACTGTTACACGACACGTGGGACCAAAAGGATGATGACTGTGCAGATGGATAGGAAGGGTGGACAAATGGAAGGGTAGACAGGAGGCTCCGGCTACTGCATATACTGATTGTTATCCACACGTGCCGCTTCTTGGCCTAGACATCGCAATGTGTGTGGGGGCAGAAATGATGGTGCCATGCCTGCCAATTCCAGCAGGGTCGGAGTTATGGATTAGCATTCATCCAAACCCAGTTTAAACCCATGCTGGTGTTCTAAGCGACGCCTATTAGGCGGTGCTCCTGACAAGATGTGTTTACGAGTAGATGTTGTAAAATTGTGTCCTGCACTGCCCTGCGCATGAGCACACAGCTAGCTGCACCCATGCTGCGAGTTGGCGGCTGGACATAGTGGATGGTGTGAGGGTGGCCCGCAATGTCGTCTTTTCGTCCACCCATCCTGTACGTGAGCAGTCACACACATGCACACACAGAGTGAGAGAGAGAGAAAAAGAGATAAACCAACAGCACGACCACAGAGCGCTGCGCTCGCACAACACCAACACTAACCTCAAACACTGTCGCCGCACATATTCCCTCATACTGGTATGAGGGGATGTCACACATTACCATGCCAACATTGCTAACACACAGAAATGACGAAATGTAAATAAATGTGACCTCGACTAACACCATATTTGGTGAAACAAAAGCCAAACACACAGGAACCACCACAAAACCACTCTAACACAAGCTCAACTCGATTGCTGCACGCCCACTGCCCTTCGACTTCCGAATATGGGAGTAATTGTACCTTGCCCAACACCTTCGCATGTACCTTGAGCGACAGTTTCACTCCTTCCTTCCTTCCTTCCTTCCTCCCTTCCTTCCTTCCTTCTTTCTCTCCTTCTCTCCTTCCCTCCCTCCACCTCTCCCTTCCTCCTTCTTCCCCTATTTCATTGGTGGCAGTACAATGTTGCCACGCCCTTCCCTCATAATGTGTCCCAGCATGACTATGCCCTCACCAACTTCCTCCTCCAACCGCTCTCATCACTTCCCCAATTACCTACGCTGGTCGCACGATCGCCTCGTCTTACGACAAAACTGTTTTCAAGCACATCTCTTCACTCACGTTTTGGCGTGCACGACGAGAGGTTCGATCTACTGCATTGGTGGCACTCAAGTCGATCCACACACGTCAACCATCACACTGTACCCTCACTCATGCTGCGTCTTTTTCCCATGCTGGTAGAGCCTAAAACAACATCATACAGCACAAGGACACAACCCACTGACTACTCACAAACCTCTTCCGTCACCACTTTCGTCTGACCATGCCCAATAGGTGCGCTGCACTTTGTGGTGAAACATGGGCTGCAATTCTGTAACCGGTAGTGCATTACATCGCATAAGATGAGGTGGGGAGTGGGAGAATGGAACATCAAGGCGCCTCGTAGTTGTATGCTCGTTTGAGCCAACGTTGCCCCACGACGCTCACCAGTTATTTCCCCAAGTTGGAGGCGAGGGAGTGGCGGTGGGCTCGAGTAGGCGATTTCGGTGTGTGCTTCATGCTCACCGATGTAATTTTTGCAACTGCTCATATTTCATTGACGCGAATGGAAAATGTACCCGGAGAGGCACAGAGCACTCAGTATGACAAGCACCATACGAAGACACAACCACTTTCGCCTGTCAGATAGGAAGATTAAACTACCAGTTGAGGGTGGACATCATGGCACTCATAGCATTGGTACACATTTACTCGCACCAACTCCCATCCATCCCGGCAAAACGACCCATTTCAAGCAATGAAGTGTGCCTCCTAATAACTGATGGTAATCCTGTCAAGCCCACCCTCTACTCGGGTGGTGATGTACACCAACGCACATCGCACCTCCACGTAGCCGCATCAATCAGCATTCCACCATTGCACATATTGGTGTTGGTGATGGTGGTGGCGGCACAGCGTTTGTTGACGCACTGCACTGGTTCTCATAACACGCAGCCTGATGCTCTGAGGTCATCACGTGTTGTGCGGCCTGGTCCGACATCAGGGTAGGTCGCACCACCACACCAATCCAACCCTTCGCATTGGCTGGCACAAACACCAATTTTGGGTCATGCGGGTATTGGATGTTGACACGCCTATAAAAGCGGGTATGATGGACCTGGCGACTTCGGTGTTGCCTGTGGTCTGTGGTTTGAGGTGGACTCCGCTCCTGGCTGACATCGCGACTCGTGCGCGATAGAGATCGGCCATTGGGAGCTACCACAGACGCATGCTTCACCACCCACCAACTCGGAGGTGCACCGACGTATTCACTTCCGTGTTGGCGCAAAGAACAATGCAGGCCACAACATAACAGCATCCACATTACCACGCACTTCTCCCAAGGAACGCATCGTCGAGGCCAGTAGAAGTAAAGTGGAGTGATGCATAACCACGCACACACACTGCATGTGTCCTGTGGTCTACAGGATGTGGCTACAATTGGAAGACAACCTGCGCAATGTGGGACAAGCTATGGCTCAATAAACAGCGTGTACGCTCATTCCTTTGTCGTAAAGTCGATGGCTAGTATGTAGTAGAGCTCTTTCCTTATTTGCGCCCCATTCCCCATCTCACGTCATTGGTGTGAACTGTCTTTGACTGAATTCAATGGTCGATGTTCCACTTTGAAGGCATCTCCACTTTCCCTCATTCATCTTCCAATGCTTTGGCCCTGTTGTGCAAACATTCGTCTCCATCCTTTTGTGCAGTTGATGTAAGTGGAAGCTAAGGGCCGTCCAATCAATGTGCATTGTGCATTCTACCGCATCGAAGTAAACTGTTGTTGCTCCTTCTGCCTTCCTCTTCTCATTGCAATAATGGATGGATGGTGGTGGCTGTTTTGTGGTTTGTGAGGAGGTGGGAGGTCAGAGAGGTGTCAGAGGTTGTTGGTTTAGTTGGGGCATAGTTGAAATGTGCGTGTGTTGCCTAGCGAACGGAAAAGCGACTTCGCAGTAGGGCTGATTTTGGCTTCGCCATCGACACTGGTGGTCGCACGTCACAGGACTCTGTTATTCACCCATGACAAAAATCAGCGTGCAACAGTGCTTGCGTGCTTCGTCATGCTCACATGCGAACACGACAAGATGGCCGGCCGAGTCGAAGTAGGGAATTGCACTCAAATTCTCGAGAGACTGTCAACAACGGCGGTGAGGTAATTGCAACGCCTTTGTTTAGCAAGGGAACTAATTCGAGTATGAGGCAGTTTGATGCAACCCGCCACATCTTATGAGGGTGGATGTACGGAGCGAATTGGGTAGTTTCTGAAAGCCATATTCAGCCACTGTATACAACTTACGTTTCGGGCAATTAGGCACTGCCTTGGGAAAACACGTGAACAGGAATCCGCTTCCGTGCATTTTCATGCACAAAGGGACGCTCTTCAAAGCCACCCAGCGTTGATGCAATGAGTCTAGTGTTACACACTGCCAATTGGCGTCAGTTCAGTGTTAGTGGCAAGCACTGAAAGGTCAGCAATGCTGTGGCATCGTGGTTTTGTACTACACGGCACACTGCACTAAGCATAACGCATCCATTGTCATTTGTCGCCGCCTTCGCTCTACTCACACCCGTACCCCGGTGACGGTTGGGCTTACATCAGGGACACTCAAACTCGACCACTCTCACAACATGCTACAGCTGGCTGCTAATGCGGCACACCAGAGGGTGGTGAATAGTGGTATGAAATGGAAGAGGTGCTAGAACCGACGCGGTTGTTGTGCAACTTTTAAACTAAAAGAGTAGAGGAATGAGCAAACAGGAACGTGGGAGAGTCCCTCTGCCCCTTCGCATGACAAGCATAGATGCGCCTCCATCACCTACCCGGTTCCACCATACATGGGCAAGCTTATGGGAATGAGTTGGGATGAGCTTAAGTGACACCCGCTTATTTGGGCAAGATGTCGTATGTGGTCCGCCTTTTCGTGCGCGGACATGAAAATGAATGCATCCTCACTACTAGTTAGTGTAGAGGTGCTGGATACAACCAGCGGTTCCGATACGACACCGTTCACTCCCATTGCACAGACAACGCCACAGTTCCTGCCAATATACTCACCCACGTACGGAGACACACAAGCCTGCTGCATTACCATTGCTTGTCGACGTTGGTTATCGCAAAACGACCATTATCAGACCTGGTGATGTGACCTACTTCACAGCGTGTGTTGCGACCACCTACATCCACACGGCTCTGCACGAGTCACCACATAAGGATCAATGTTGCCACCATTCGTAACTGTTGGCACAAACATTTGTCCCTGCTGAATGGTGGCAGGTGAATTAGTCGCATCGGATGGCATTACCTTCTCACCTGTGCTAATAATATTGAAGTCAGCAATGCACGTGGTGAGAGGCATCACATCATTCCAAATGCGTTGTTATCCCAACGTCGGCAGGCATTCCTGCACGGTACAGAGGACTGTACAGCCTGAAGGAGGGCGGGTTAGGCTGTCCACATTCCCAGTTAATTGTTTTTAACCTGTCACAGATGGAAGTATTGAAGCCCAAGCATGCCACTTTGTCGCAGTAAGGGCTGCTCCCAATTACGAGTCACATATTCTGCATTTACTTGCACCCACTTCATTGTCCAAACACTTGTGTGCGCCGAGTCGCGACACCACAGACCCGTTTCTACCTCACTTTCGATGGTGCAAGTTGAACCACACCAAACTGCAATAGTTGAGAGAACCTAGACCCAACTTTCCCTCTCCTCCCTCCCACACTCTCGCCCACCCAACAGGGCATCCATTCTGGTTTTTAATGGGGGGCAACCTTCCTTCATTTCTAAATTCCACTTTTAACAGTAATTCACTGCAAATGGCATCTGATGCACTGACCGCCTCAGCCACTGCAGCTATTTGCACCCAACTGAACCGACATATGCGGGTGCCCTCATGTCCCCAAATAGTTGCCATTTTGAGTCAACCAGATGGCGCGAGTACCGACGTGGTGGTGTTACACGAAATGAAGTAAGTAGTTGTGGCGTCACGTGGTGTGGTTTAGCCTGGACTGTGGACACTCCGCGACCTCCGCTGACGCAGTCTGCGTCACCACTATTTTATCGACCAATTCTAGCATGTCGCACCTCCCCGCCTCTACACCCCTCCACACGTGGTCGTACGACGAGAGCCATAACATGGCCCCCAATCGTCAACACACGTGATGTGGCAGCCCACACTACAACTCATCACACCACCATGCGCCATACCGTCATTGCCTTCCACTAAAGCGAGATTTTAACATCAAGCGGCTGCATTGCTATCGTATGGGCTACTATTGTTGGGAGCATACAAAGAAATTAGTGAGATTTTTAAAGGAGATCATGTATTCACGCACAAATGCATAGACAATCATTCTTTTCACAACAGCAAAGTGGAGCTGCAGGTCTTTGTGCTCTCGGATGACAAAGCCACAGCATACCTAACACATCACGGCTTGCCGACATTATCGGTCCTGCCACTGTCCATAACAAAGTTCAAGAGCTCCATCAAACCCAGCAATGCCACATCGCAGCACACCTCACATCCACCGAATAGACAACGCCTCAGTTGCACCCCCTCCCCTCCCATCCACCTAACATTGCATTTCGCAAGCACAAACGTATCCAGGCTACCGAATAATGAGAGATCATTACTGGTGTGAGCTGTAAAGAAGAGGTGAATTGGGGTAAAGATGTGAATCGAAAGGTGGGGTGTGGAGATGCGCAATACGACCGTGTCTGGTGTGCAGCGAACTTGTGACCTCATGTCATGACTTCGATCTCCTCCAGTGCGATTTATGCACCTCTCCCCAATTAGCTCTCCATCCTGGTGAGGTACTCTGTGTTGCATCAAATTCCACGCGTGCGTCAGTCTCCTGACCACGACTGATTAGGCCGTGGTCCAAACAGTTATATTCTCAGGCTTGAAGAGCACAAATGGTCCGTGTCCGTGGATGGAGCACCATATTCTAGGCAGCATTTGCAATCGCTGACATTCATCAATAGTAGAAATTAACGATGCTACCTCCACCATCTAGCGCAGAGCAATCACAGTCACGTCCACTCAAAAATGCAACGCAGAGTGAGGAAAGGTGCTTAGGGAGGACTTTTAATTGCAATTGAAGGCGTGGTGACTCACCACACGTTGTGAGGTCAGGAGGCCACATAGGGACATAGGAGGAGAGTCCCACATCGTCGCACCACCTCAACATGCTGACTCACCTCCTCCAATTGACTATCGTCTGCATCTCGTTAAACGCCACAAATTGCCGCCATGCTGATG